CTATTGCTGCAGCAACGGAACGATGAAAATATTGTCCTGTGAAAAAAGAAAAAATAAATAAATAAAAAGCAAACGTGCTTAGACATTTGCCATTGGAAAAAATATATGTGGAGACCACAACATAAACTCTTACACACCAACTCTTACTTTGTGTGTCCAGGTATATACATATCAATATCCTGATTTCTGTGGTACGCTTCCACATTCCTTTTGATTCTTACCATTTCCAAACTGACTAACATTGTTAGTTTGATTTGAATGTTACTTGGAGGGGTTTTTGGTTTATTCAATCTCTTTCTCTCTCCCTCTCTTGTATCGTTCTCTTGCTTCACCTCGGATGGGATCTAGTCACCCCGTCGCTGGTCTCTCACATCAATGGCCTTTGTTTTATGACCATCAACATTACCGTTTTGTCACCAATTTATGTTTTTATTTTAAGCACCAGCGATGTCGTCAAAGGTGCATAAAAAAATATGAAGAAAAACTGAAACGAGCTATACAGAACTAAAAGCAGCTTTGAACAGTGGTCGAAATATAGTTAGTATATTTTACCATAGCTGTGCTATATATTGCGGTCGTCCTTTTTTTCGTGGTGTATTTTTCGTGTTCAGGTATTATTTGGATCACAAACTGTTGAACGAGGAAAAAAAATCGAAAATTTATTACAGCTTTACGATATGGCATCAAGATTCCCGTAACAGCCAACAATAATGATGGCGGCCAACATAAGCCAAGGTAGAATTCACATTTCTATTTGAATTTTGATTCGAATGCGAAAAAACGAACCGCACGCAATTCCACATGAATATAATATGGGAAGAGACGAGAGAATTTATTTTTTTGCTGAAATCGAGACCACAAAGCGGAACATGCCATCGAGCCAAATGACCGAAGTAGAAAGCAAAAGGCAACAGATAAAAAGATTCTCCGACAACGGGCGACTTTTTATTACATTCGAAAATTGGAAAATGCCAACATCCTAACACTGATCATAGAGATACTTTTAAAGCAACCGTCAAGTAAGTGCTTTGCCAATAAAATTCCATGAGGTGAAACATACGCGTTATTGAGAAACCAACATTTCGACTCGAGTGCGTGCCTGTGCATTGATGCTTGTATGGATTATTAGTTTTTTTCTTCTCTTCATACAAGACGATATGGATTTAAGATGCAAAGAGCATCATATAAAATTAGAATCAGAAGCATTTACGTTAGATTAACTGTGTTTGAGTGGTTTATCATACATAAATTCGATTGCGGAAAAGTATCATGCATAAAAATAAAAATTCGATTATACAGGGTGGGCCAGAATAACTGCAATTTTTATATGTGCTCAGAAAAAGTATTGTTTTTTACTAAAATTGAATGAAAACTTTATTGGGATTTAGAATAGGGTCCAAAATTTTAAATTCATGTTTTGGTTTTGATTCTTCCTCCGTTTGCACGGATCACCAAACGCAAACGTCGTAAAAACGATTTACACGCGGACCGCACCATTTCGATGGGAATATCGTTCCAAATCTTGACGATTTTCTTTTTAAATGCATCCAATTTTGTGGTTTTCGTAATCTTCAGATCATTTAACTTTGATTGCATGTAGCCCCACACAAAATAATCCAATGGATTCAAGTCTGGAGACGATGGCGGCCATTCGTCTTTATCAATAAAATCAGGCACATTTTCCTTTAACCACTGTTGCACTCTGTTTGCTCGATGTGACGGTGCCCCATCTTGTTGAAACACCCATGGTTCATTACCAAACACTTTTTTGGCGTGTGGCAACAATTTTTTGCGCAATATTTCTTCTTCATACACAGCTGCATTGATTTTAACGCCACTTTCAACGAAAACAAGGGGAAATTTGTGATCGGCCGAAAAGGCGCCCCAAACCATGACACTTGACACATTTTGATATCGTTCAACGACTAAATCATCTTCAGGAATGTCCTCAATTGTCGCCGCGTAAACACGATCATTTTGCGCATTGAGACTTGGCTGCAAAAGGAACAACTTCTCGTCGGAGAAAACGATGTTTGAGGTTGCGGCCCGGCTTAGCAGCTCTTTGCATTTTCGCTTTCTATCTTGCTTATTTTTTTTTTGTCAAACCATGTTTTCGGGTTTTTTTGAATGTTTTCATTCCCAAATCTTCTCTCAACACTCGTCGCATTGAAGATCGACTGATATTGTGCTCACGAGCTAATATTCTGGCGCTTCTTTTGTTATTTCGAAGAATTTTCTTTCGTACCTTTTGGACCAGACCTTTTGTTCGTACAGATCTTTTTCTGCCCGTTTTTCGCTTCACATCGACAGTTCCACGCTCCTTGTATCGTTTTATGGTGCGATGAATAAAATTCAAACTGATATTGTCGATCTGAAGCTTCCGAAAAATATCAATTTGTCGCAAACCTTTTTTATGCAAATTCAAAACGAGTTGACGTTTCACATCCATTATTGTAGCAAAGTAAACAAGAACTGCGCAATAATGTGCATCATCACAGTGGATAACCAAAACATGAATAAACATAACGGTAAGCAAAAGAGTGACTGGAAAGTTATTATAGTAGTATCTACATAGGTGCGAAAAAAAATTGCAGTTATTCTGGCCCACCCTGTATATTGCAGCACGCGGTTCGAACCGTGACAAAATGAGAGAAAGTTTAACTATATATAGTTTGCCGAATGGATCAAAAATTATGGATTATATACGTGCATGTGTATCGGCATTAGCATAATCGAAAGGGAAAAAAATATGGAAAAACCGATCGAATTTTCTTGTACCAAAACACACCATAATCTATATATGTGTAGCCATAAATTCATCATTCGTGCCTTATCGCAAACACGAAACATTTTGCCGTCTTCGAAGTGGCAAAGAGCACCATAAAAAACAATCAACCAATGTTCGCAGCATCGAATCGACAGCATTCAACTGAATTGAAATTATGCAGCATTTATTCATTCTCTTCTCTTTCGCTCCCTTTTCTCTTGCAACTTTATTCCGAAATGCTGCGTTTGTTGTGCGTTGAACATCAGGTGACGAACATTTTGATACCTAGTTCGTTCTTTCTATTTCTCTTGCTCGCTCATCAACTCTCTGTTTCACTCTGCATGTGTATTCACAACAACATGTCGGGGAAAACTGATGCCAGGTCTTAAAAACATATCATAAATCTATTTACAATTACATTGAAAACGATTTCGAAATCCATGTGAAAATGACTTGTGTATGGGTTGGCTGATAAAATCATTTTGCACACACAGCACCATATCATACACAGACACACGCTTGTCCGATTCATTTGTGTTCGAATCGTATAAATGCGATGCGAAGGGAAAAATTGCGTCTTTGTATTCGGATGAAGGGAATAAAATTCGCTTTCCATCTCTGTCTTATTTTCGCTTCTGTTCGTTATTTTGTTTGTTGAAAACGAAATATCGTATAGCTTTATCGAGCATGGGGAATTTTCATTGCTTGCACAGTACACAGTCATTGAATGTATATGTGTCGATGTTTATGTGTATAAACAGCACGAATAAAGTATGGAATATAAAAAACATGTACAGAGCAATTTCAACGAATCAAACAAATCGAATTGAATCCGAATTTCAGAAATAGATCGGTTGAACAAATATCACATTTGTGCCAATAAAAATTACCGATTTCATGAAAACATTCCGAATTCTCTCAGTTTGATTTGATTCGATTGAACTCACATTACTGTGTTACAATTTAGATTTGAAACGACTGATTAGAACGAAATTGATTTGGGAACTGGAAAAATTAATGAAAAATTGTTATTTAACTTTTGGTCAAATGAAAATTGTGATTGGTATATAAATAAACATTTAATTTATTCTTTGGGTATTTTGTGCTGTTATTTCACCTTTGAGTCCTTGCTGCTCTCTCACTTATTTTAGTTTCGAAAATCCCGATATAAAGCATATAAAAAAAAACTAGGGAAAATTGTATTGGTGTATGTATTTTAGTACGATTTTTGAATGAGAGAAAATACTGTTCGAGGGGGAGAAGGTTTGAGTAGTCGAGCTCAAGCTTAAAATGAGCTGTTACCTGCAAAACCATGGAAAGCTTCTCCTGAAGGTGCTTTTTTCTCAAGCAAATACTTCAACGAGCGAGCAACAACAGCAGCAGCAGCAACAACTATTTGTTGCTGTTCGGTGGTTGTTGTTGTTGTTTCTTCTTTTTTTTCTCTGATATCGTTATCATTGTGGCTGTTGCTGCTACTTCGATATCATTCGCAAGCCATCCGAATACATATTTGAATGTGTGCGTTGAATAGGGGAGCGCGAGATAGAGACCAGAACGACAAATATATATATATATATAGAGAGAGAGAGAGAGAGAGAGTGAGAGAGTATGGCAAATCCATTGTTCTGGTATTTGTTATCGCGTCGAGCAAAATGTGTCATTGTATTGGTGTAATGTGAAAATACACGTATGTCGTTTCGATTCATACACCCCCTGTAAAAGTTTCACCACTGTTCATCTACTTATTATCAATCAGCATTTTAATTTAAAATTTACAGTGTCAAAAATTGAAAAATCTTCTAAATAATATGATAAATTGAAGAAAATCAAACAAATCAGTATTTAAAAAGATCAAACAAAAAAGTGAATGTCTTAAAGAACCTGACGAATATTTACAAAAGTTTTTTTTTTGTTGGAACTGTTGCCCTCCATGTAATAATTTTGTGAACACATGCACATGTGTTCATATATAAGGAATCAAATGTACGGCTCAGGTGGATAAAAATGCTCGAGCTTTCTCTGACTCAGTGAGCGACTGAGCGAATCCGATGCGAATGTATTTGTATTTGTGTTTGAATGTGTGCGTAGTTCACGATGAAAAAACGAACGCGAGGGAGAGAGAAAGCCTGTTAGAGATAACCGACACGACTCGACACGACAAAACGAATCCAAACCGAACCGAAATGCTACGACAGGAATTTTACTCAGTTCCATTTGGCGTACATGTAGTATACTTTCTACGGCTCTGTGTGGTAGTGGTGCTATAACAGAATTGACACGCGCGTCAAAAATTCAACTTCAGTTTTGTGTTGTGTGTTTTGTTACAATATAATAAGTTATTTGAGTGTAAGCAAAAAAAAAACTTTTTTTTCTTCTTTTCGAAAAGAATCCAAGAAAAAAATTTGACAAATAAAATAAAAAAGCATAAAAGTGAAACGAAGAATTTAATGCAAAAGCAAGCGCAAGATAAATTGAATATTTTCCGAGAGATTCTTGAAAAACCAATTGAATTTTACCGAAAATTCAATTTGGAAATTTTCTCTCATTTTTTTTTGTTTTGAATTGCATACAAGATGTTAGATAGAGCTACAATTTGTAGCTCAAAACAACAGGGATTGAGCAAAATCATAATACTTACGGATGTCCAAGATTGACTTGAAATTTAATTGAAATTTGTTGTCAATTTTTTCATCTCTCTCTCTCTCTCTCTTTCAACTTTTAAATGTAAACTGTGGGCTGATCATTCAAAATCTATTTAATATTGAATTGATTGTATTCAATTAATTTTCCACCACTTTAAATGTCGCATGTTGTGAGCGATACTTTGCCTTGAATGTCAACTTTGGCCATTGAATATGATGATCAACAGTAAATAAACGAACAAATCCACACTAGTTACACAAAATATCGTGTGACATTAGACGGTATAGAGAAACGAATAACAAATTGAAACGGATCCATGTAAAGAAGTGAGAAGAGAAAAAATTGAAGAATAAAACTAACGGAAAAAATTGAGAGAGAGAGAACTTAAACTTTGGTTCGAGGGGTTGTTTGTTTGCGACTTTGGCTCTCGAATTCAATTGATAACAAAGAAGAGAAACAAAAATGATGATGGCAATGACGACGATGACGACGACGACGACGACAACGACGAAAAAAACAACGCAAAAGAGACAAATGGAGATTCGAAACTTGTGAATAAACGAATGGATGAATAAACGGGGGAAAAAGTAGTGAAAAATGACGAGACTGAGTTTTCGAAAAACAAATTACAAATCGGTCGACGATATTGTTTTTACTGTTGTTGTCAGTGGAATTGAGAAGCGACCGAACATAATAATACAAAAAAAAATATATCCATTATTTATACATAGACACGACAATAATAATCGACCTGTTTTGCTCCCATACACAATATACAATATACAAATTCGCCGCCGCAGGATGTTTCGTTCACCAAAGAAATTTATTACGATTTACTGTTGTTTCTTTCATTCTTTGGGTAGCTTCTTTTCGCGTTTTCCATAGAACTACAAACGATGCACGATATAGAACAACAGAACGGCACCTAGCGCATAAAACACATAAGCTCTCACACTATTGTATCGAGTTATTTTGCTTTATGTCTTCATTTTCATCAGTAGTTTGTTTATTCTGGTGCCTGTGCTGTTGCTGCCTTATTTCCAATGTGTATTTATTCAAAGAGCAATTCACGATGAGCGCTGATACAGCGAATGTGTTTGTGATTATCATATAGTATACATAATCACGACGGCCACGACAACAATGATGATGAAATGAAATCGATGATTTTGATTCATATGTTTTCGTCCCTCAAAACCCGAAGAAAACCTGTACGCTTTGTATTTGTTATATTTGTGTTCCATTGTTATTATTTTTCAATTAATATTTGGAATAGGCGCGCACTCTCAATGCTACTCCACTCCAACGCTGAGATAGTATTTAATAGCAAAAGTATGCGGTTTCGGTATTCCTGTTAAGATGTGCTCAATTGAAAGCGAAACCAAACAAACGAGAGCAATATTTGCCAATAGAAAATGGATTAAAACACACACGAAAAAAAGGAAACGATTCGAATTCAAGTCGTACGAAAAATCGGTTTTGAACTATCTCTCTCTCTCTCTATCTCTATGAAATCAACTGTAACGCGACGAAATTGAATTTCCAATCGCATTTTATTCCGTGCTACCTAGCTTACCGCGCTTAATTCATGTTAAACGACTTTCAATGCAATTTATTCAGAAAATGGCTAGAAATGTTCGAATATTTGGTCATAATTTTCTACATTCAAGCACAATACATAAGCAATGTCTCTCTTTCATGTCGTGTGCCAGAACAGCTTTTTTACTTTTCTTTTCAACTCTTATGCTCAATTTTCGTTGTTGTTTTGTATATCACAGTGCGTAACACAGCACATGCCACCATGTTAAACATGCAACAAATAGCAAAAGTCTCCCTCTCTTCGTTCGAAAGGAAAAAAAATATATCCATTAATAGGCAGCAAGTTTTTAGGAATTTCTTATTCACTTAATGCTCGATATAAATAGAAAATGAAACAAAGATCAACAATTGAAGTGAGAATGGGACAGAAAATACAGCAAGAAAATAATACAACTGCCACCACTAATGCCGCATAAATTTATTCCGAATGGCTTCGTTCTCGTTTTGGTCATACAATTCTCTCATTTATTCGACGTTAGTAGTCGTTGTTATTGTTGTCGTGGTTTTTTCGATTCGTCGTCAGTATCGTTACTATATTTGTATGCTTCGTTCGCTTTTTTCTGAACTTATAATTCAATAAATGTGTGTGACTACGTATTTATGCCTTGCATTTTGTCCTTTTTTCGACCTGTTCGTTTCGTTTTTGGTTACGATTTTGGTCTCTCTTTCTACGGCTCTCTGTCTCTCACACCATCTTCTCCATTTGCCTTTCGCATATCATTCAGCAGTCGCAGTCAATGCGTATTAGTGGAATTCGATTGATTTATCAATATAACGCACGTACAAAAATATAGTTACAATCTATTTCTGCGCTGCATAGAAACGCTGCATAAAAAAGTATACACAGAGCAAGCGAGCGAGCAAACGAACGATTGAATTCGCCTGGTAGAGGCGGTGACAATGAAATGAGAAGAAAAAAATAATAATACGCACGTAATAAAATCTAATTCAATTGATCATTTATGTGCTTGTGCATTGATGAGTGGTTCGAAATTTAAAAATACACACATTTTTTTATTCACTTTTATTTATTCGACTACAGATACATAATTCAATTTTCGGTTGTCGATAATACACAAAATAAAACGGAGCTACATTTCTTGGAATCGAATGAAAGAGCTTAGCAAAATACCAATTTAAACCACGTTTCCCCCACACAAAAAAATACAAAATAAAAATAATTTTGTGGTTGAAAAGAGAAAAGAAAAAAATAACAAAACACAGTGAAGCTTTTGAGTGAACACATCTAAAAGCGCATTTCAGTATTTCCTCGAAAGCAAAATAAACGATCAAATTAATTTTCGTGAAACGAAAACGAATCAAGGAACAAAAAAAAACAAATCAGCGAACGGCATATAGCTTTTGAAATCCGGATGAGAGACAAACATAGCAAGAGAATAAACACACTGACAAAATTTTAAAAAGAGAACATAGAATACAAAAGACAAGTTAAAACGAAGTGGCAATTATAAATTAAAACAGATACGGTAGCACCGATAAGCTCAAACACAACGGCTATTCGAAAGAAAAACACAAAATTATCATCATAAAAGTAAGTTTTCGCGCGCGCGTCAACACACGATATTAGACACATATATATAACCGGATAATAGCTCCTTAGCGCTAAATAAAGAAAACACCAAAAATATATCCACACTCACACACAAGCAAATACGACGAAAACAAGTAAGTTCCTTTCGACAATTTTCAATTTTTTATTTTATTTTTTTACATCGTATACTTTGGAAAGAATGAATGACGTTTTCAATTTACCAACAAGATTGGACTTCACATAAAACACACGTACGAGAAAAAGTTTTAAAAATGCGCACGAGACAGCGAGTTCAAACTTCATCATTTCATATATGCAGAAAATAAAATGAATCAGTTTGATGTACTCGTTTCAAGTGAACGAAAAAAAAAAACAAATCACTATATTTTATATATATATATTCGGTTAAAGTTGTGTGAGAGTATATGATGATGATGATTCTTAGTGAATCTTTTGGGAAAATCTTTTGACTTATTCAAAACTTCTTCAAAAACTTTTGTTAGTTTATCCTAGTTTCTTTTTTCTTCCAAATGTTTATTTATATTTATTTTGGCATTTCTCGTTCATTCGTTGTTATCGTTGTCGCCTACCACTTACAAATTCCATGTTAATTTACGAATGGAAATTGAAGTTTACTTTTATTGAATAGATTTACGTGTGTTCAATGCGATTGTGTGTTTATCGCAATGATTGCGACGCAATCAATCAAATCAATCCAAACATTCGACCAAATCAGTTTTAATCTTAACACAATATTGAGTTCAAATTGAAATGTAATTGGAAACGAACGACAATGAAGATGTCGAATCATTTTTACTAATGGAATTTCGTTTTCTCGATGCTGAATCTCATTGGAAATTTTTCGACGAAATCTATCAATCAATGAAAAAGTACCGAATACAAATCATTCACAATATGTCAAAAGCGTTTTCTTTCGTTTCGCCGCTTATTAAACGGCGACATAATGTTTATATGGTAGCACTTGATTTATTTCGAAAAAATAAAATTGATAATCGCATTTTTGAGAGAGAGAAAAATATGTCGAATAAGGTTTTTTCTTCTTGTCTTTTTATTGTGCATTTTTTTTTTTTGCTATCTTTTCACAACACCCAATCTAAACGAGTTTCACCTCATTGACCTAAAAAGAATGTACATATACACTTTATTGCTTACATGAATTCCGCGAATGATTGCAAGTGAAGCGCATAGGTGAGTGGAAGAATATGCACAATTGACAATGATGGTGACATGTAAGGAGCGCACGATGAACAGAAAGAGTGCAAAATAGAAGAAGAAAAAATAATGAAAGAATCAGTCACACAAACAAATATATATCGTTCAACAGAAACGGCAGAGCAGCGACGAGCGCAAGTGAATGATTTGAGCGAAGAAATGCGAGTTTGAGGAGAAAAAAACTGAAAGACAGAGCTAGAAAGAGTCAGAGAGAATAAAAAAAACCATCGAATACAATAATGATAATAATAATAATAATAATAATAACGTATTAGAAGTCGATGGCATGGATAATAAGCAAAGTGGAAAAAAACTTGCGATAGATTGAAATGTAGAGAAAAAAAAAAGCAGCAGCAGCATCAACGCAGCAGTAGAAGCACAGACCTGCACAGAAAAATAGAGAAAAAAAGCTCCGTTGGCTTTATCCACCTTAGCCTTATTACATGTACGATGTACAACGACACAATGTACCCACATCATCTCGCGTGCCGTGTATATGCAATCGCTCTCTGTGTGTCATATGTTGGGGCTCAGATGAATGTGCGAGAGATACAGAAGAAGGTGATTCGTGTCAAAGAAGAAAAGCGTTAAAAACCAGAATGCAGAAAAGGAGTGAGAGGATACGTAAACTACGTGATCTTTGCTTGGCACAAATGAACAAATAACACAAAAGTAACAACAACAAAAAATAAAGAGAGAAATGATAAAGAAAAGAATGAAGAATGAAAAAATCCATTTAGACATAAACAAATAGAAGCATCCGCAAAACTCGTGTGTGTGTGTGTAAACTTGGCTCTTTTTCTCTGGCGATGTGTATGCTTTGGCATGTTTTTTCGTCGGTGGTGTTGTTGCACGCTGATGCTGCTTCTACTGTCAATGTGGCTGCTGTGCGGATGATTCGATTCACTGCATATTATCTATATGTAGAGAAATTGATCATATTTACACATGATTCCATTTCCAGCCAATAATCGGGTTCTATGTTCTAATTTCCCATGATTAGTCTCTCTCTCTCTCTCTCTCTCTCTCTCTCTCTCTCTCTCTCTCTCT